ATTAGTAATCAATCTTTTAAATCCATTGTAACATGTGGATATTTCAACATTGATTTTCTGAGCGAATCTCACGAAAAAGATAAATTTCTCAATTTACTGCATTATTTTAATTTAGATATTACAGTGAATGTACCTACACGGAATACAATTAAATCACAAAACGCAATAGATCAAATTATAATAAACAACTTGATATGGAAAAAAATTTAATCTAGGTTACAGTGACCACGATGCACAAATTCTTATAATTACTAATAACATGAACACTGACACAATAAATAATACCCACGTGTGCAGAGTATTCACTAAAGTTAACATAAAATTATTTACGGACTACTTGCTGAAGGAATCAAGGGAAATAGTTTATAACGCCGTTGGCACAAATGAAAAATATATTTTTCTCAAAGCTTTCATTTCACTTTAACGCATGCTCTCCTCTCAAAAAGAGAAAATGAAATATTTCACGGAAAAGTAAGACTTGGATCACACAAGGAATTAGAACATCGTGTAAAAACAAACGTACGCTTTACTTTATTTCTAAACATCATAACGTATTACCCGATTTCCATGACTACTTTCGAGAATCCAAAAGTATTTAAAGAAAGTAGTAGTTCATACAAAAATAATGAAAAATAATCAGGATATTTTTAACTCTAATAACAAAACTAAAGCAAAGTGGAATATCGCAAAAAATACGACCACATCATCTCGGTACTTAGTAGAGAGTGCTGTATAAAGGATAATGAAAGAGAAACAAGTAATCCGAAAAGTGGCAAATTTCTTCAATCAACACTTATCTAGAATTGCGGTTGTACTTACGAAGTGACTAACACCACAAAATTCAATGTCATTCCCTTCCCAAAAAATTTTTGACAGTATATTTATTTCAGAAACTTCTTCTAACGATATCCTGAGAATAGTTAGTAAACTAAAAATACATATTCATCTGGTTTACATGAATTTCCGGCTTGTTTATTGAAAACTTGTATTCCTCCCTTTGTACACCCGTTAACTCCAATCCAATGCTTCTTTATGCACATGAATATTATCAGATATTTTCAAAACAGCAAAAATTAAGCCACTTTTTAAAAAGGGGAACTAAAATGAAATTCAAAATTAACGACCAGTTTCTCTTTTGTTAGTTTTCTCAAAAATATTAGAGAGGCTTTTCAATGCGCGAGTAAATTTTTTCTCAGGAAAAACGAAGCGTTTTCAGACTCACAACACGGATTTAGAAAATCAAAATCCACAGAAATTGCCGTTTTTTATTCCTTAAAGATGTTGCTTCATCAATGGACCAAAATGAAGCACCGTTGGAATATTTTTAAATCTTTCGAAATCCTTTGACGCTATTTACCATAATATCTTGCTATCAAAATTACCTTCTAATGGAATTCGTGGTATCGCCCTAGATTGGATAACTTCGCACCTAAAACATCGATATCAAAGAGTAGAAATACCATACTGGCACGAAAGATTATTATTCACATCTCTTTCCAATTCTTTACTAATTGAATATGGGGTCTCGCAAGGTTCCATCTTATGTAATATCCCCTTTCTGTTATATGTAAACGATATTTTCTAGTCTATGAAAAACGGAAGAACGGTTCTGTTTGACGACACGAATGTTCTTTGCAAAAAAGAAACAATAAATAGTACGATTTCAGAAGTTTTAAATTATTTTTGTAATATCAAATAGTTAACGAAGGAAAAACAGTTTCAACGCATTTTTGCATTTCAAATCAGCAATCGCATGCTCGGGTTCGTAGGCTTCCGCGGCCGGAGTCAATGCATTCTTGGCTATCCGGGATGAGCCGCGTCTCGGTCAATTGTGCTGACGTTTCGACCATCTTGCTGTGGCCTTCTTCAGAGCTATACTGAATGCATCGCATGCTCCATTGAAAATGAACAATATGCAGTTAGCTGATGTTAAGGTAACAAAATGTTTAGGTCTTTCAATTCAGTCAAACCTCAAATGCAATGTACATATAAAATAATTATACACTAAATTAACTTATTTTTCTAAGGCACTCAGAATTCTTTCAAATTCTGACAGCCTTCATGCAGCACGTTGCGTCTATTTTGCAAATGTACATATGGCATAATATTCTGAGGAAGCTGATCATGTAGTACCCAGACCTCTAGGTCGCTAAAGCAAAATTATTCGAATAATGAAAAATGCCATTCGTGTGATCACTGCAAGCCTCTTTTCATTGAACTTGGAATCTTACCATTGATTTGCCTATTTATTTACGAATCTGTAATGTTTGTTATATCTGACTTACTTAACGGTGTGAATATGTTTTCATGCAATACTGATATTTATAATTACAACACACGTCGTAGAAATCATGTTTATCACGTGCCAGTATCAACAGCTCACTACCAGAAATCCATGTTACTTTACAACGCATTGCCAGATGATAAAAACAATTGAAGTCGGTACACAAATTTAAGTTAAAAGGAAAATCTTTTCTGCTGCATAACTGTTTCTATTCAATTAGAGACTACACTGATCTTCAAAAAGATAAATGTTTATTTTAACAAAACAGAGATATATAATGTATTAGTTTACATTTGTATTGAATACAATTTTTAAAATATGTAATATGCTTGTAACAAATAATGTACTTCAGCTTCCGGGTCAATGAGATCCATCTCGATCAGGTTTTTGTCCAGTTTCCCTGACACGTTGAGCAATTGCTGAGATGGTCCCTTGTTTTGCTTCTGGACGTAAATGTAGCTTCACTATGCGCACGTTTTGTTGAACTCTTTTGTTTGTAGTGGTAGGAGTAGAGATAAGAGCAAGTTACTATTTTGTTAGCAACACAGAAAAATCAAATCTGCAGTTCGTTTACCGTTGCAAATAAATTTTCTATAGCTCGAGAACAAAAATGTCTAGTTTTTCAAATGTTGCTTATCTCGCGCTTTTTTTAAATTTTATTTTTATTTATTTATCTTTAACTTTTACTCATCTTTCAATTATTTATAGTTAAAATGATGGGAAGGGATTATGGAACTCAAAAAACGTGTACAGATTATCTCCCCCTTACGTCACAGTTTTTACTGTATTTGACTAAATAAATTTAATCTAATCTAACAACACGATAGTTTCTGTCGAAAAATCGGCATATTGTGCTGCGGCATCACTATACTTTCTCTTAACTATGTAATTATGTAGTAGGCGCGACATTGCAGTAATAACTGATATTGTGAAACAACAAAATTGATGACAGAGATTTTTTTCTTCATGGAATCTCTTCAAACACTAGTGGTGATTCAACAGCATACACTCTCTTGCGTTGATTGTAACTTTTGCGATTATTGACAACTCAAAGAGTTCAAACTAAGACCTCGCCATTTTGCAAAGTGTCCTGTGCTCTATTGAAAAAAAATTTAAAGAAAAAATTTGAAGCCGAACAGATTTTATTTAACTCAAACATTTCTATCTTCAATATTGTAAATTTGTCATTTTTTTCAATTTTCGAAAATATAGTTCCCCCTACAATCAGACAGCGCCAATGTTTATCATCCTTTGTTACAAACTACGAAATAATTTAAAGAAAAAATATGTGTTCGTTTTTCAGAAAATAATCTTTAAGATTGCCTATATTTCACGCTAAATTACGAGAAAACTACTCAAATTTTCGAAAGAATGTTCATAACCTAATTTAATGATCTCTCCATGAAGAACAAATATCGTTAAGAAAAATCTCAACCTTCCATATTGTAGTTGCAGGAAGATGGCGAAAACATTTCAAACTTTTTATGCAATTTTCAGAATATCAGTGATTTAAATGAAAGTGAGACTCACTCCATTTTTAAGCGTTCTTTACACTTTTCGAGAACAAATTTTATTAATTAAATTTGGCTCTAAGTAAATTTAAAAAAATATTTTTCTAATAATAAAGATTGTTTATTTTTCATATTTTATCAATCAGATAAAATAGCATTAAGTTGACAAAAACATTTTTCGCTGTGGAGGGTTGTGGGTGGTGAAACGGGGGCTAAAAATATTTCAAAGATATTATTTTTATGTTAGACTTATAGTGTGATAACTCATGTCATTAATTTTAGGGAACTTTTTACTATCTTATCCGGGGATACCCTTCGGTAGGAATATGATATACCAATTTTTTTAATTACTAAGATCCGGCATTAACAGTTTTTCTGTTGAAAATTCGCGGTTTTCTGGTGCATGATTTTTAGGAAGTAAAGGCCAGAAAGTAAAGAGAGTAAAAATCAGATCTTATATAAGGTCATGTACTCTTTTTTGAAAATTTTAGTAGTTTCCGTGTAATTTTTATTTAAAGTGAATGCACTTTTTTTAAGAAATTTCTCAAAAAGGGCTCTAGCGTTTTTCTTCATATTTTTCGAACATAGTAAAGGACGCTTAAAGAATTATTTAGGACTTATTTTAATTGAACTCTCTGAATTTTTTATTTTCAAATGTTACAAATACTGCAAGAAAGTACATAAGGTTGTATCTTCACTAGTTTCTTTGACGAGAAAATGCATCGTTTTATTTCAAAAGAAAAATAAGTCCAACATATCAATGTTATTGTTCCTGATCATATCGACTATTGATTTATATTGATAAAATATCACAATATCCATAAAGAACACTTTAAATTTAAATATTTTTATTCTTCAACGCTTTGTTCAAACATACTAGATTTAACATATAAAAAGTAAATCCATCGTTTGTATCAATGAGTTGAATGTTTTCTTTGTAAATGACATATCAACTTTTATTGCATCACTAAGACATACAGCGCAGAAACACATTGTGAATTATTACACTGTGATTGAACCCCCAGGAATAATTTAGAAAATTGAAGTGTTCCATTCGCTCTGAGTGACATTTCTGTGAAAATATTGGGAGCACCTTTCGCAGGAAAGCGAGGCTTTCGCATCCCGTGCACTACGTGGAGTGATGGGGCCGGAGCGAGAAAAGCTCATAAAAGGCTCGGGCTGCGATGGACAGTAAATACGACAGGATGCTCTCACAGCCTCGGAATTCTCAAGACGCGTTGGACGAGTCCATGGCAAACTTTCAGCGTGAAGCGCTGGCCACCTCGCCAAAGCGACTGGCAGCTGTCACGCGCGTCTCGTCGCCCAGCGCCGTCAGGCGTGGCTCGGCATGGCTTCGCGGCGTCACGGCTTCACGGCGTGGCAGCGCGGGCGGCCTCTCCGCGCAAGCGGCTTCCGCTCCTTCCGGAAGCAGCCCGGCCGCCAGCTTCGGATCCCTGCTTCTCCCGCCTTTCGTACGAGTCACAAGTTTGTCACTTTCTACATCCCTGCACCTCTGTCGTTTTCCCCTCCCCAATTCCATCAATGATTCAATTTGCGTTTGTATTACGTGTTAACGTGATAAACACATAGGATTGTAATGCTGCAAATGAAAGCGGCGATTTATTCGAAAAACTCGTCATAAAAACCGAAAACGTCATCATCATCCTACACACAAAAAGTGCCTTGTCGCTGCCACTTTATTCTTAGTCCCTGTATAGATAGTGACGTGTAGTTGTTTTTGAAATTCTTAAAATATTTTCATTCCAGGTGTGTGTGTGTCTCTCTCTCTCTCTCTCCCTCTCTCTCCCTCTCTCTCTCTCCCTCTCTCTCTCCCTCTCTCTCCCTCTCTCTCCCTCTCTC